CAGAGGTCAGGAGGGTGTAAACATACAGAGTGCAGAGGTCAGGAGGGTGTAACATACAGAGTGCAAAGGTCAGGAGGGTGTAACATACAGATTGCAGAGGTCAGGAAGGTGTAACACACAGATTGCAGAGGTCAGGAGGGTTTAACACACAGATTGCAGAGGTCAGAAGGGTGTAACACATACTGCTTGCAGAGGTCAGGAGGGTGTAATGTACAGAGTGCAGAGGTCAGGAGGGTGTAACACACAGATTGCAGAGGTCAGGAGGGTGTAACACACAGATTGCAGAGGTCAGGAGGGTGTAACACACAGATTGCAGAGGTCAGGGAGGGTGTAACACATACAGATTGCAGAGGTCAGGAGGGTGCAACATTCAGATTGCAGAGGTCAGGAGGGTGTAACAACATACAGCCTGCAGAGGTCAGGAGGGTGTAACATACAGATTGCAGAGGTCAGCAGGGTGTAATGTACAGAGTGCAAAGGTCAGGAGGGTGTAACACACAGATTGCAGAGGTCAGGAGGGTGCGTAACACACAGATTGCAGAGGTCGGGAGGGAGTAACACACAGATTGCAGAGGTCAGAAGGGTGTAACATACTGCTTGCAGAGGTCAGGAGGGTGTAATGTACCGAGTGCAGAGGTCAGGAGGGTGTGTAACATACTGCTTGCAGAGGTCAGGAGGGTGTAATGTACAGAGTGCAGAGGTCAGGAGGGTGTAACATACATACAGATTGCAGAGGTCAGGACGGTGTAACATACAGATTGTAGAGGTCAGGATGGTGTAACATACAGAGTGCAGAGGTCAGGAGGGGTTGTAACACACAGATTGCAGAGGTCAGGAGGTGTAACACACAGATTGTATCGGTCAGGAGGGTGTAACACATACAGAGATTGCAGAGGTCAGGAGGGAGTAACACACAGATTGCAGAGGTCAGGAGAGGGTGTAAAGAGTGCAGAGGTCAGGAGGGTGTAACACACACAGATTGCAGAGGTCAGGAGGGTGTAAAGAGTGCAGAGGTCAGGAGGGTGTAACACACAGATTGCAGAGGTCAGGAGGGTGTAACACACAGATTGCAGAGGTCACGAGGGTGTAACACACAGATTGTATAGGTCAGGAGGGTGTAACACTCAGATTGCAGAGGTCAGGAGGGAGTAACACACAGATTGCAGAGGTCAGGAGGGTGTAAAGAGTGCAGAGGTCAGGAGGGTGTAACACACAGATTGCAGAGGTCAGGAGGGTGTAACACACAGATTGCAGAGGTCAGGAGGGTGTAAAGAGTGCAGAGGTCAGGAGGGTGTAACACACAGATTGCAGAGGTCAGGAGGGTGTAACACACAGATTGTAGTAGGTCAGGAGGGTGTAACACTCAGATTGCAGAGGTCAGGAGGGAGTAACACACAGATTGCAGAGGTCAGGAGGGTGTAAAGAGTGCAGAGGTCAGGAGGGTGTAACACACAGATTGCAGAGGTCAGGAGGGTGTAACACACAGATTGCAGAGGTCAGGAGGGTGTAACACACAGATTGCAGAGGTCAGGAGGGTAACACACCGATTGCAGAGGTCAGGAGGGTGTAAACACACAGATTGCAGAGGTCAGGAGGGTGTAACACTCAGATTGCAGAGGTCAGGAGGGAGTAACACACAGATTGCAGAGGTCAGGAGGGTGTAAAGAGTGCAGAGGTCAGGAGGGTGTAACACACAGATTGCAGAGGTCAGGAGGGTGTAACACACAGATTGCAGAGGTCAGGAGGGTGTAACACACAGATTGTATAGGTCAGGAAGGTGTAACACTCAGATTGCAGAGGTCAGGAGGGAGTAACACACAGATTGCAGAGGTCAGGAAGGGTGTAACACACAGATTGCAGAGGTCAGGAAGGGTGTAACACACGGATTGTATAGGTCAGGAGGGTGTAACACTCAGATTGCAGAGGTCAGGAGGGAGTAACACACAGATTGCAGAGGTCAGGAGGGTGTAACATACAGATTGCAGAGGTCAGGAAGGTGTAACAAACAGACTGCAGAGGTCAGGAGGGTGTAACACACAGATTGCAGAGGTCAGGAGGGTGTAACACACAGATTGCAGAGGTCAGGAGGGTGTAACGTACAGAGTGCAGAGGTCAGGAGGGTGTAACATACAGAGTGCAGAGGTCAGGAGGGTGTAACATACAGAGTGCAGAGGTCAGGAGGGTGTACTGTACAGATTTGCAGAGGTCAGGAGAGTGTAGCATACAGATTGCAGAGGTCAGGAGGGTGTACTGTACAGAGTGCAGAGGTCAGGAGGGTGTAACATACAGATTGCAGAGGTCAGGAGGGTGTACTGTACAGAGTGCAGAGGTCAGGAGGGTGTAACAGGGTGTAACATACAGAATGCAGAGGTCAGGAGGGTGTACTGTACAGAGTGCAGAGGTCAGGGGGGTGTAACATACAGAATGCAGAGGTCAGGAAGGTGGAAAATATAGATTGCAGAGGTCGGGAGCATGTGTAACACACAGATCTCAGAGATCAGGAGGATGTAACACACAGATTGCAGAGGTCAGGAGGGTGTAACACAGAGATTGTATAGGTCGGGAGGGTGTAACACAGATTGCAGAGGTCAGGAGGGTAGTAACACACAGATTGCAGAGGTCAGGAGGGTGTAACACACAGATTGCAGAGGTCGAGGAAGTAACACACAGAGATTGCAGAGGTCAGGAGGGTGTAACACACAGATCTCAGAGATCAGGAGGGAGTAACACACAGATTGCAGAGGTCAGGAGGGTGTAACACACAGATTGCAGAGGTCAGGAAGGGTGTAACATACTGCTTGCAGAGGTCAGGAGGGTGTAATGTAATGTACAGAGTGCAGAGGTCAGGAGGGTGTAACATACAGAGTGCAGAGGTCAGGAGGGTGTAACATACAGAGTGCAAAGGTCAGGAGGGTGTAACATACAGATTGCAGAGGTCAGGAAGGTGTAACACACAGATTGCAGAGGTCAGGAGGGTTTAAACACACAGATTGCAGAGGTCAGAAGGGTGTAACATACTGCTTGCAGAGGTCAGGAGGGTGTAATGTACAGAGTGCAGAGGTCAGGAGGGTGTAACACACAGATTGCAGAGGTCAGGAGGGTGTAACACACAGATTGCAGAGGTCAGGAGGGTGTAACACACACAGATTGCAGAGGTCAGGAGGGTGTAAAACATACAGATTGCAGAGGTCAGGAGGGGGTGCAACATTCAGATTGCAGAGGTCAGGAGGGTGTAACATACAGCCTGCAGAGGTCAGGAGGGTGTAACATACAGATTGCAGAGGTCAGCAGGGTGTAATGTACAGAGTGCAAAGGTCAGGAGGGTGTAACACACAGATTGCAGAGGTCAGGAGGGTGTAACACACAGATTGCAGAGGTCGGGAGGGAGTAACACACAGATTGCAGAGGTCAGGAGGGTGTAACACACAGATTGCAGAGGTCAGAAGGGTGTAACATACTGCTTGCAGAGGTCAGGAGGGTGTAATGTACCGAGTGCAGAGGTCAGGAGGGTGTAACATACTGCTTGCAGAGGTCAGGAGGGTGTAATGTACAGAGTGCAGAGGTCAGGAGGGTGTAACATACAGATTGCAGAGGTCAGGACGGTGTAACATACAGATTGTAGAGGTCAGGACGGTGTAAACATACAGATTGCAGAGTCAGGACGGTGTGTAACATACAGGCTGCAGAGGTCAGGAGGGTGTAATATACAGATTGCAGAGGTCAGGAGGGTGTAATGTACAGAGTGCAGAGGTCAGGACGGTGTAACATACAGATTGCAGAGGTCAGGAAGGTGTAACATACAGATTGCAGAGGTCAGGAGGGTGTAACATACAGACTGCAGAGGTCAGGACGGTGTAACATACAGGCTGCAGAGGTCAGGAGGGTGTAACATACAGATTGCAGAGGTCAGGAGGGTGTAATGTACAGAGTGCAAAGGTCAGGAGGGTGTAACACACAGATTGCAGAGGTCAGGAGGGTGTAACACACAGATTGCAGAGGTCAGGAGGGTGTAACACACAGATTGCAGAGGTCAGAAGGGTGTAACATACAGATTGCAAAGGTCAGAAGGGTGTAACATACAGATTGCAGAGGTCGGGAGGGAGTAACATACAGATTGCAGAGGTCAGGAGGGTGTAACATACAGAGTACAGAGGTCAGGAGGGTGTAATGTACATCGGTGCCATTTTGGAACCTGAATTGCCTGCTGCTCCAGGTGATTGCTGAGTGAACGTCTGTGCTGTGCTTTGTTTACCGTGGGCTGCCGGGATTCCGGGAACATTCAGTGAAGGTCCCAACAACAAACAGGGACTAGTGGCATCCATAGACATGCTGAGCTTCTAGTGCGTGAAGAAGCACGAGAAGCTCACAGTGTGCAGTCCAATCAACGCAAGTCAGAAGGGAAGGTTGGAGTTCAGAATTAGGATTTTGGACAGGATGCCGAGGTTTTTGAACCTCCGGTGTGACGGAAGACGTCCCTTTCCGTATGGTCACGGAGATAAAATGTAAGCTCCGTCTCCCAGGTGGAGGGGGCTACATACGGTAATCCTAGGGGGTGGAAGGGTGAGAAGCTTTGGCTGGTTATTGTTGCCGGTCTGTCTTCCCACCGGGAGGTTCTCCTGATCTCCTGGTCACTAGGAGCTGAGTAAATGTAGAATAGTCTTCCCCAAGAAGTGGTTTAGGCCAAGTCTCCAGAATTCTTGAAAAAAACAAAAAGCTGGATAGGCATCAAAATGTACAAAATATAATTGGCTATTCATTGGACACAACATTGTGGATCCTTGTTCCATTGTCCCTGGAGATCAGGAAGGACTTTTCTTCTCTGTTGGGTCTCCTGTTGGGTTTTTGTTGTCCTTCTCCGAGTCACCTGTGGTTTTAGGGTTCCAACAGTGCAAGTTCTTTTTTTTTTTTTTCTTTTTTTTGATTGATATATCTTTATCACCTTACACACTCTGTCACTGTGTATTTTAGGGATATCCTTCTACTTGAACCTTCTCCGGTCCATGGATAATCGGTCTACAACCTCTGAATTTGTTCTGCTTGGATTCCCAGGAATTGGGGAGAAGTTTCACACCCCGGTCTCCACAGCTCTGTTCCTGCTTTATCTCACATCGCTGTTCTCGAATGGCGTAGTCATAGCTCTGATCGGCTGCAACCGACATCTGCATCAACCGATGTATGTGCTCATCTTGAACCTTGCCATTTCCGACTTGCTTTTTGATACCATCACTCTGCCGAAGATTGTGGCCAAGTACTGGTTCAACGATGGGTCCATCTCATACGCTGGATGCCTCTTCCAAGTGTTTTCTGCCCATTTCCTTGGGAGCTTTGATTCCTACATCCTCTTGCTGATGGCCATTGACCGTTATGTGGCCATATGCAAGCCCCTGAGATACCCATCAATAATCAACAATCAACGTACCATCCTCCTCTGTTGCTTCTCCTGGCTCTTCACAAGTTTAATTGGCTTGACAATCGCTGTTCTGGACTCTGGTGAAGAACTATGCGGACAGAATATCAGAAGCTGCTTTTGCACCAATGCAGTGGTCTTGTCCTTGGCCTGCAATGACGTGGCCACCCTCAAGCGTACGATTTTTGTCATTGCTATGATAGTCCTTCTCTTGCCTCTGTCCCTCATCCTTTTCTCCTATGGAGTCCTAATCCGGGTCATCATCACACAGACCCAGTCTGTGAATCGAAGGAGGGCCTATTACACATGTGCCACCCAGTTAAGTGTCATCTGTCTATATTTTATCCCACGGATATTTGTGTATGTTGCCAACCAAGTCAAGTTGATCCTCAATGAAGATGTGAACGTCCTTATTCTTTGCTTTTACTCATTCGTGCCGCACATGGCCAACCCCATCATTTACTGTTTGAGGACTAAGGAGATTAGAAGGACCTTTAAGAACCTCATCAAAAGGTGGATACTGATGAAGAATCCAAGGATACCAGCAGTGAATGTAATTACAATCTCAGATCAGCTTTAGGGGGTGATCCAAAACTGTGTTGTGGTGGGACTCTGGTGGACTTGATGATTTAGAGGTGGAAATCGCGTACTTGAACTCTTGCCTTTTTGTTTATGGCCAACCGTGTCACGTTAATCCTCAATGAAGAAGGAGCAACCCTAATTTCTGCTTTCACATGTTCATACCACACATGGCTAACACTATAATTTTTACTTTGAGGACTAAGGAGATTAGAAGGACCTTTAAGAACCTAATCAAAAGGTGGATACTGGTGAAGAATCCAAGGATACCATCAGTGAATATAATAACAATCTCAGATCAGCTTTAGGGGGTGATCCGTAAACTGTGTTATGGTGGGACTCTGGTGGACTTGATGACTTAGAGGTGGAAATCGCCTCCTCGAACTCTTGCCTTTGTGTTTATGGCCAACCGTGTCACGTTAATCCTCAATGAAGAAGGGAGCAACCTTATTTTCTGCTTTCACATGTTCATATCACACATGGCTAACACCATAATTTTTACTTTGAGGACTAAGGAGATAAGAAGGACTGTTAAGAACCTCATCAAAAGTTGCAAACTTTAGAAGAATCCCAGAATTCCAGCAGCAAATGTAATTACAATCTCATATCGGCTTTAGGGGGCTGACCCAAAACTGTCACTGGTGGGACTCTGGTGGACTTGATGACTTATAGGTTGGAAATCTTCTCCTCGAACTCTTGCCTTTGTGTTTATTGCCATACGTGTCAAGTTAATCCTCAATGAAGAAGGGAGCAACCCTAATTTCTGCTTTCACATGTTCATACCACACATGGCTAACACCATCATTTTTACTTTGAAGACTAAGGAGATTAGAAGGACCTTTAAGAACCTCATCAAAAGGTGAATGCTGGTGAAGAATCCAAGGATACCAGCAGTGAATATAATTACAATCTGAGAGATCAGCTTTAGGGGGTGATCCGTAAACTGTGTTGTGGTGGGACTCTGGTGGACTTGATGACTTCTCAGATCTCTTTTTGGGAGTAACTCAAAACTGTCCTGTAGAGCAGTCATCGCTAAATGGGGGACCGCATTCCTGGCGCCTCCTCGAACTCTTGCCTTTGTGTTTATGGCCAACCATGTCATGTTAATCCTCAACGAAGAAGGGAGCAACCCTAATTTCCTTTCACATGTTCATACCACACATGGCTAACACCATAATTTTTACTTTGAGGACTAAGGAGATAAGAAGGACTGTTAAGAACCTCATCAAAAGTTGCAAACTTTAGAAGGATCCCAGAATTTCAGCAGCAAATGTAATTACAATCTCAGGTCAGCTTTAGGGGGGTGACCCAAAACTGTGTTGTGGGGGGACTCTGGTGGACTTGATGACTTTTCGAGAGTAACTTAAAACTGTCCTGTAGAGCAGTCATCACTAAATGGTGGACTGCATTCCGGGGGACCGACCCATTGTCCCATCTGGACTGCTGCAGTCCCACCGTTTAGAAGTTGGTTCTTTTTCTCCCTGCCTCCGCTGCTGTCACTGTCACAGCAGAGTGGAGAGCGGGGCGGGTAGAACAGTTCTGCGCACAGAGGGGGAGACACAGAGGCGCTGAATAGAGGTCGGCAGTGGGGGCTTGCTGAAGTTGCTGAACTTAACTTCCAAATAACCAGCAGGTGATTGGTTGCTGGCAGTCCTACCAACCAATTACCAGCTTGTTAATATGAAAAATCGACTCCAGGAGCTCCCGCTCCAATCTTCAATCCAGCGCTGCAGGTGAGAAAGAGCCAGAGGTGAAGGAGGCTGTGTAATGTGAAGGGGCCAGAGGTGAAGGGGGATGTGTAATGTGAAGGGGGACAGAGGTGCAGGAGGCTGTGTAATGTGAAGAGGGACAGAGGTGAAGGGGGCTGTGTGTAATGTGAAGGGGGCCAGATGTGCAGAAGGCTGTGTAATGTGAAGGGGCCAGACATATAGAAGGCTCTGTAATTTGAAGGTGTGTCAGTGGTGCAGGAGGCTGTGTAATTTAAAAGGGGCAAGAGGTGCGGGGGGCTGTGTAATGTTAAGGGGGCCAGAGGTGCAGGGGGCAGTGTAATGTGACGGTTTGGCAGAGGTGCAGAAGGAGCTGTGTAATGTGAAAGGGTTTGCAGAGGTGCAGAGGTGGGGGCTGTGTAATGAGAAGGGGGTGCCAGAGGTGCAGGGGGCTGTGTAATGTGAAGGGTGCCAAAGGTGCAGAGGGTTGTGTAATGTGAAAAGGTGCCAGAGGTGCAGGGGGCTGTATAATGTAAAGGGGTGCTAGAGGTGCAGAGGGATGTGTAATGTGAAGGGGGGGCAGAGGAGCAGGAGGCTGTGTAATGATGAAGGGGATCAGAGGTGTGGGGGCTGTTGTAATGTGAAGGGGGGCAGAGTGCAGGAAGTTGAGTAATGTGAAGGGGGCTGTGTAATGTGAAGGGGGTCAGAGGTGCAGAAGACTGTGTAATGTGGGGGGGGCAGACATGTAGAAGGCTGTGTAATTTGAAGGTGTGTCAGAGGTGCAGGGGGCTGTGTAATTTGAAAGGGACAAAAGGTGCGGGGGGCTGTGTAATGTTAAGGGGGCCAGAGGTGCGGGGGGCTGTGTAATGTAAGGGGGCCAGAGGTGCAGGGGGCAGTGTAATGTGAAGGTTTGCAGAGGTGCAGAAGGCTGTGTAATGTGAAGGGTTGCAGAGGTGCAGGGGCTGTGTAATGAGAAGGGTGCCAGAGGTGCAGAGGGTTGTGTAATGTGAAAAGGTGCCAGAGGTGAAGGGGGCTGTGTAATGTAAAGGGGTGCTAGAGGTGCAGAGAGGGATGTGTAATGTGAGAAGGGGGGGCAGAGGAGCAGGAGGCTGTGTAATTTGAAAGGGAAGAGGGTGGGGGCTGTTTAATGTGAAGGGGGGCAGAAGTGCAGGAAGTTGAGCTGTGTAATGTGAAGGGGGTCAAAAGACTGTGTAATGGTGAGGGGGGGCAGACATGTAGAAGGCTGTGTAATTTGAAGGGGTGTCAGAGGTGCAGGGGGGCTGTGTAATTTGAAAGGGACAAAAGGTGCGGGGGGCTGTGTAATGTTAAGGGGGGCAAAGGTGCAGACGGCTGTGTAATGTGAATGGGGCCAGAGGTACAGGGGGCTGTGTAATGTGAAAAGGTGCCAGAGGTGCAGGGGGCTGTGTAATGTGAAAAGGTGCCAGAGGTGCCAGGGGCTGTGTGTAATGTGAAGGGTGCAGTAATGTGAAGGGTTGCAGAGGTGCTGACGGCTGTGTAATGTGAATGGGGCCAGAGGTGCAGGGGGCTGTGTAATGTGAAGGGGTGCTAGAGGTGCAGAGAGATGTGTAATGTGAAGGGGGGCAGAGGTGCAGGAGGCTGTGTAATTTGAAAGGGACCAGAGGTGTGCGGGGCTGTTTAATGTGAAGGGGGCCCGAGGTAAAGGCGGCTGTGTAATGTGAAGGGGGGCAGAAGTGCAGGAAGTTGTGTAATATGAAGGGTGCCAGAGGTGCAGGAGGCTGTGTAATGTGAAAGGGACAAGAGGTGCGGGGGGCTGTGTAATGTTAAGGGGGCCAGAGGTGCAGGCAGCTGTGTAATGTGAAGGGTTGCAGAGGTGCAGAAGGCTGTCTAATGTGAAGGGGCGACAGAGGTGCAGGGGGCTATGTAATGTGAAGGGGGCCAGAGGTGCAGGGGGCTGTGTAATGTGAAAAGGGGCCAGAGGTGCAGGGGGCTGTGTAATGTGAAAAGGTTGACAGAGGTGCAGGGGTCTGTGTAATGTGAAAAGGTGCCAGAGGTGCAGAGGGCTGTGTAATGTGAAAAGGTGCCAGAGGTGCAGGGGCTGTGTAATGTAAAGGGATGCCAGAGGTGCAGGGGGCTGTGTAATGTAAAGGGATGCCAGAGGTGCAGGGGGCTGTGTAATCTGATGGGGGCCAGAGGTGCATGCATGAGCTGTGTAATGTGAAGGGATGCCAGAGGTGCAGGGGGCTGTGTAATCTGAATGGGGGCCAGAGGTGCATGGGGCTGTGTAATGTGAAGGGGTGCAAGAGGTAAAGGGGGTAGTATAATGTGAAAGGGGTCAGAGGTGCACATTTCTGTGTAATGTGAAGGGGACAGAGGTACAGGGGGCTGTGTAATGTTTAAGGGGGCCAGAGGTGCAGGGGGCTGTGTAATGTTAAGGGGGCAAGAGGTGCAGGGGGCTGTGTAATGTGAAGGGGGGCCAGAGGTGCAGGGGGCTGTGTAATGAGAAGGGGCCAGAGGTGCAGGGGGCTGTGTAATGTTAAGGGGGCCAGAGGTGCAGGTGGCTGTGTAATGTGAAGGGGTCCAGAGATGCAGGGGGCTGTGTAATGTGAAGGGGTGTCAGAGGTGCAGGAGGCTGTGTAATGTGAAGGGGCTAGAGGTGCAGGGGTCTGTTTAATGTGAAGTGGGAGCAGAGGTGCAGGGGGGTCTGTGTAATGTGAGAGGTGCAGGGGGCTGTGTAATGTGGGTGCCAGAGGTTTAGGTGGCTGTGTAACGTGAAGGAATCCAGAGGTGCAGGGGGATGTGTAATGTGAAGGGGTGCAAGAGGTGCAGGGGGCTGTGTAATGTGAAGGGGTGTCAGAGGTACAGGGGACTGTGTAATGTGAAGTGGGCCATAGGTTTAGGTGACTGTGTAATGTGAAGGGGTGTCATAGGTGCAGGGGGCTGTGTAATGTGAAGGGGGGTGCACAGAGGTGCAGGGGGCTGTGTAATGTGAAGGGGGGGCAGAGGTGCAGGGGGCTGTGTAATGTGAAGGGGGAAGAGGTGCAGGGGGGCAGGGGTCTGTGTAATGTGTGTAAGGGGAAAGAGGTGCAGGGGGCTGTGTAATGTGAAGGGGTGCAAGAGGTGCAGGGGGCTGTGTAATGTGAAGGGGGGGCAGAGGTGCAGGGGGCTGTGTAATGTGAAGGGGGGGTGTCATAGGTGCAGGGGGCTGTGTAATGAGGTGCAGGGTGCAGGGGGCTGTGTAATGTGAAGGGGTGCCAGAGGTGCAGGAAGCTTTGTAACATGAAGGGGTCCAGAGGTGCAGGAGGCTGTGTAAAGTGAAGGGGTGTCAGAGGTACAGGGGACTGTGTAATGTGATGTGGTCCATAGGTTAAGGTGACTGTGTAATGTGAAGGGGTACCATAGGTGCTGGGGCTGTGTAATGTGAAGTGAGCCATTTAGTTTGCTGTGTAATGTGAAGGGGGTCAGAGGTGCAGGGGTCTGTGCAATGTGAAGGGGGTCAGAGGTGCAGGGGTCTGTGTAATGTGAAGGGGTGTCAGAGGTGCAGGGGTCTGTGTAATGTGAAGGGGTGTCAGAGCTGCAGGGGCTGTGTAATTTGAAGGGGTTACAGAACTCCAATGAAGGCAACTCTGAAGAAACCTGAGGACCTCTCCGCCCCCCCCCTCACTGTATGAAGATGGTCTTGCACCGTTGTACCGGCTCCTCCCCTTCCATCTTGCACAGGTGTACCAGTTCCTCCCCTTCAGTCTTGCACAGGTGTACCGGCTCCTCCCCTTCCATCTTGCACAGGTGTACTGGCTCCTCCCCTTCAGTCTTGCACATGTGTACCAGCTCCTCCCCTTCAGTCTTGCACAGGTGTACCGGCTCCTCCCCTTCAGTCTTGCACAGGTGTATTGGCTCCTCCCCTTCCATCTTGCACAGGTGTACCGGCTCCTCCCCATCCATCTTGCACAGGTGTACCGGCTCCTCCCCATCCATCCTGCACAGGTGTACCGTCTCCTCCCCATCCATCTTGCACAGGTGTACCGGCTCCTCCCCATCCATCTTGCACAGGTGTATCGGCTCCTCCCCTTCCATCTTGCACAGGTGTACCGGCTCCTCCCCATCCACTTGCACAGGTGTACCAGTTCCCCTCCTGGACTGAAATGCCTTGCTCTGCTTTCATTGTCCATTGTGAGCTTCTCACGATGTGCATTAGAAGCTGCAGCAAGTCACATAGAGCTCCGCCTCCTGGCTGGAGGACGTTCAGCATCTTGTTCTTCCACCTTAGCCTGACCAGCCTTGCCTGGCCCTTTCATTTCATTGGTTTTGGGTTCTTTCATTCATGGATTTTCACCATGAACCTATGGAAATACAGCCTGTCTAGGAATGCCCACTCCTCCTTTCTGGCTTGGAGGACTGTCCCTGGCCCACCCCATTTATTTGAGTTCTTTCAATCATGGAGACAGAACACCCACTCCTCCAGACTAACCCACCCACCCATCAAGGCATTCTAATATTTTCATAACTCCTCCCAAGAGACAGCCCACTGCTTACATCAGGGATGAGGGCTCTGTAGAGGACTACTGAGGAAGGGATGTTTTCTGGAAGCTACATACAACACCATTCCTACCCTTCCCACCAGACATGATCCACTTGCATTGCATAGAGAAGCAACCAGGGGGTGGTGGGTGGGGGAAGAAAACCAGGGAAGGCAATAATTCTGACAGATATTAATTACCATTTCTGGTACCTTTGAGAAAAAAAAATCCTTCATTTCATGTGTGTCCACTGAGATAACATCACCAACATCCCCTCAACAGGGGCACAGACGGTGATAATAGCATGTGGAAGGGTGGAAAGCTTTCGTAGGTTCTTACTGTTGTCTGTGTCCCCGTTGAGGAGATCTTTTCACTTCCTGGTCACTATGAGCTGTGAAAATGTGGAAAAGTCTTCGCCAAGAGTTGCTTCTAGCCAAGTCTGTAGATTGCTTAAAAAAAGTCTTCAAAATATGCAAAATATATCAGGCTATGTAATAAAACATTGTTTCTGGAGGTCAGGAAGGAAGCTTCTTCTGATATTTTAGGCGTTTTTGTTTTTTTTTGATTGGCATGTCTTTATTACTTACGAACTCTCACTGTGTATTTTAGGACTATCCTTCTACTTGAACCTTCTCTGGTCCATGGATAATCGGTCTGCCATCTCTGAATTTGTTCTGCTTGGATTCCCAGGAATTGGGGAGAAGTTTCACACCCCGGTCTCCACAGCTCTGTTCCTGGTTTATCTCACATCGCTGTTCTCAAATGGAGTAGTCATAGCACTTATCACCTGCAACCGACATCTGCGTCAACCGATGTATGTGCTCATCTTGAACCTTGCCATCTCCGATTTCTTGTTTGATACCATCACTCTGCCGAAATTGTGGCCAAGTACTGGTTTAACGATGGGTCCATCTCATACACTGGATGCCTCTTCCAAGTGTTTTCTGCCCATTTCCATGGGAGCTTTGATTCCTACATCCTCTTACTGATGGCCATTGACCGTTATGTGGCCATATGCAAGCCCCTGAGGTACCCATCAATAATCAGCAATCGACGTATCATCTTCATTTGTTGCTTCTTCTGGCTCTTCACAAGTATTATCGGCTTTACAATTGCCTTTCTGGACTCTGGTGAAGAACTATGCGGACAGAATATCAGAAGCTGCTTTTGCACCAATTCAGCGGTCTTGTCCTTGGCCTGCAACGAGGCGACCTCCGTGAGGAATACAACTTTTTGCATTGCTATGTTTGTCCTTCTCTTGCCTCTATTCTTCATCCTTTTCTCCTATGGAGTCATAATCCGGGTCATCATCACACAGACCCAGTCTGTGAGTCGGAGGAGAGCCTATTACACATGTGCCACCCACTTGAGTGTCATCTGTCTATATTTCATCCCACGGATATTTGTGTCTGTGGCCAACCAGGTCAGGTTGATCCTCAATGAAGATGTGAACGTCCTTATTCTCTGCCTTTACACATTTGTACCACATATGGCCAACCCCATCATTTACTGTTTGCGGACTAAGGAGATTAGAAGGACCTTTAAGAACCTCATCAAAAGGTGGATACTGATGAAGATTCCAAGAATACCAGCAGTGAATGTAAATACAATCTCAGACCACCTTTAGGGGGGGTGACCCAAAACTGTGGAGGGTTTCTGGTGGGCTGGATCAAGGAGAACATGGAGATCAGCTTCTCAAAATCTTGCCTTTGTCCAACCCACTGTGAAGTCATAATGCTCCTGAAGCAGGTTTAACAGAACAGTCACATAGGAAACGTGAAACTCCTTCATCATGGCCATGACTATTGACTGTACTGCAAGTCCAGACATCCCACTCCAGCTAAGATCTGACTCAACCCAGCAAAACCCTCCAAAAACCAAATTAACGTTTTGTTTTTATTATCTGAAATGACTTTTAATAGTTTATTTATTTATCATTACATGGCTTGTGGAATGTTTCAGAGCATATTGAGTCTGATGTGTTATTTCCATCATCGAACATGGCACCACTTTCTGTATGAATATAAGAAGATGACTAGTGCCACCATGTGTTAAATATCTGGCTTGTCACAGTTCTCTTTCTCATTGCTGTCGGTTTTCAATGTCTTCGAGGACAGTCCCTAGTTTAGTATTCATTTTGTTGCAGAATAACTATACTTCCAAGCATCAAAGTATACGTACAGTATGTAGCGCTCACCCCCGAAAGGTTCTCTTCCCAAGCTAGTGGGAAGCGACAGTCTCAATGGTCTGACTAGGGGTATCTTTTGATGCTTTATTATAAAGTCCTGGATACTTGGATGCCTCCTTCCAATATCAGACCATATCCTCAATGAAATGCCTTAATCAGTTCCAGCAAGTTTCAATAGAACAGCTCCCCCCCCCAATTCTACCATAGTTGGGTCCTCAATGAGCACATGTAGGACTACAGTTGGCTGCCCTTCAAGATGGACATTTCTCCTTCTGGACAAGAACAAGGCTGCCTGAGGCCCCGGCGTATGTATACACTCCTCAGCCACCTACTGGGCACCCTCCCACAGGGATTGGCCAGGACCACATAAACGTTCAGGCTGTAGGTCTACATCTTCCAGCCCACTACATTCTAGAATCCTTCAGCAGGCAGGGGGAAGCAGCCAGTGAATCCTAGAGCAGTCTGAAGCAACACACACTGCTCCATCGATTACAAACGTAAAATTTGGTGACAAATTAAAATTTTAATTTCCCATCACTTTCTGCTTCAATGACAATGGTCACCAGGACAAATGTACGAATCTCCCCAGTGGGGACACAGGCCCCCAATATATAAACCTGACAGATATTATAACCCTTACCACTCTCAAATCCCAAACTGGAGCAAAAGTTTTGGCTTTATACTTTTCACGCACTATTTGTAAAGTCAAGACTTCTCTTGGGTGTTCAGTACAGGAAACAGGATCTTCAGTCTTTCACCATGGGTTATAGGCAGTTACCTTCAGATGACTGGACACTGGTGAAAAAACAATGCCTCCCACAATTAGCTAGCCTCAGTTGTTTTTGCTAGTGTCCTTAGGTGATGGGAGCTTCCTCTCTACAGTGAGAAACATACCTCTCTTACGCAAAGGGTTTTTTCTCGTAACTAGTTGCCTACCGCAGATAGCCGAATGACAGCTGCACTGCGGCTGGCCAGTTCTAGGAGGCCGTCATATGACGTCCTCCCCGAAACATGTTCTCCTGCGCGCCCCCGGGGTCCCGCACCCTGTGATCTGTGTGATCGCTGTGTCCTACGGACAGAGCTGATCATGTGATGTGGTAAATGGCCAATCACACAATCACAGCAATGACACGTTGATCACCGGGAAATGCAATTGCCGGTTCTCGGCTGCACTTTCCTCATGCTGTCAGAGCGCGAGGAAAGTACTGCCGAGAACCAGCAGTTGTCAGAGCGGGGATCGACACCGATCATCAGGGCACTGACAATCAGTGCCCTGATGATCGATGCCCAGCAGTGCCACCCACAAGTTCCGCCCACAAGTGCCCAGCAGTGCTGCCCACAAGTGCCCAGCAGTGCTGCCCACAAGTGCCTAGCAGTGCCACCCACACTGTGTCCAGTAGTGCCACCCACCAGTGCCCACCTGTTCCCAGCAGTACTGCCCACCTGTGACCAGAAGTGCCACCCGCCAGTGCCCATCAGTGCCCACCAGTGTCCATCAGTCAGTGCCACCCAGCAGTGCCGCCAGTCAGTGCCGCCCAGCAGTGCTGCCAGTCAGAGCCCACCAGTGCCACCAGTCAGTGCCCAGCAGTTGTGCCAGTCAGTGCCAACTATCAGTGCCGACTATCAGTACCCATCAACAGTGCCAGCTCATCAGTGCTACCTATCAGTGCCACCTATTAGTGCTGCCTATCTGTGCCACCTCATTAGTGCTGCTTATCAGTGCCCATCAGTGTCGCCTATCAGTTCTCATCAGTGTCACCTATCAGTTCTCATCAGTGCCGCCTATCAGTGCAGCCTCATCAACGCACATGAGTGAAGGAGAAAAATTACCTGTTTGAAAAATTTTATATAATAAAACAAAGAAACTTTTTTAATCAAAATTGTTGCTATTTTTTTGTTTAAAACACCCAGCAGGGAGTAAATACCACCAAAAGAAAGCTCTATTTTTGTGAGAAAAAAATGAAAAACATTTCATGTGGGTACAGTGTTGCATGACCGCGCAATTGTCATTCAAAATGCAACAGCACTGAAAGCTGAAAATTGTCCTGGGCAGGAAGGGGTATAAGTGCCCTGTAGGCGAGGGGTTAAAGATTCTTCTATCAAGATTCCTTGCAGCTCTTTTCCGCAGCTTCAGGATCAGTTGACTCCTTGGCTGAGCCTTTGGGGGACAGTTCCCGAACCCGTCCGGGAGAAGATGAGGGTCTGGCCTGTAGGTTGTTTCCAGCACTGGATCCTGGGTGGATGCTCACGTAGGCATATCAGGTTGACTGCAGGGTTCTATAAAGGTTTATTATGGTCATCACTGATGGTGAAACCAGGATGGGGTCAGGTCCCTCAAAAGTGTGAAGTCATCTGCCATGGAATGTACAGGGCTTGTGCTCTTCAAATCTGCCCAAAAAGTACTTGCGATCCTATGTTTTGGTTTGGAAGCAAACTAAGGCACTTGAAATGGTGTGTCGTGCAGGTAGATGAGGAATGCCCCCCCCCACCACCACCTTCTTCTTCTTAGGAATAGGATTAGGTCGAGACACGTTTGGCAGAGATTTCACCCAAAGCCTAAAGTGGAAGTAAAGGCTACATATAAGTCTACTTGTCTCTACTTACCATCAGTTGCCTACCAAGCACTTTTACCCCCTTCCTGCCCAGGCCCATTTTCAGCTTTCAGCGCTCTCACACTTTGAATGACAATTGTGCGTTCATGCAACACAGCACAAAAATGAAATTTTTAG